AGCCCTCGTGTAGCTTTGCGCGAACTTAAAAAACAAACAAACAAACTTTCCTCTAGATTATCAACTGACAATTAGGGAAGAATAAACGCAGATAGCCGCTGTATAGGTTTGCACGGATATTTGCACCAAATTGTTTTACTTCCTATAATGGAAATTGCGTTTAAGAAAGAAAAAAAAGAAGAAAATTGTGTTTATTAAAGCAAAATAGACGAAAGTTTTACTCATTATAAGAAAGTTTAAATAAGGGACAGTTTTACTCGAAAGCCCTATTTCATTATACCCAACACTTCTTAAAACATTAACTTGGTTTTGGCAGATAATATTGCTCGTCAAAAGCCCCTTATAACTTTATCAAAACGTTATTTAGTTAGTTAAATAAAGTATTCATTTGTCTAGGGCAAAGCTATTTTGTATTTCAAAAAGAAAGTAAAATCAAACTGTTCTTCATATTATGAATGTGTATAAAATATTATTACGCCTACTTTTGTGATGTACTAAAAACAAAACGTTATTTCTTAATTGTATATACTGCACGTATATACTGAAATTTTCCATGATATCCTGGTTTTATAGTTTTTTTCTTATTACATAAAAGAAAGAACTTTATTTTGTGTTTTTAAATTAGTCTTTAAACACATAAAAAAGGAAGCCGATATTACAGTATTGAAGACGGCCATTTATTCACTGAGTACAGTTATTGGATCTGGTGTCATTATGTTGCTAGTTGCAACCCGTTAATCATTAGTATCATCCAATTCTATGTAGTTAAAGCTAGATCCTGACTAACTCAGTTTGTCTGAAAGGTTATATTTGGGAAAAAGGAACACTAACTAAAATGAATCGACTCCTCTACACATGTGAGACATGTTCTTTATCAGTCGTCGGATGATGTTAGGGGAAACCCTACCGCATTTCACAGATATCGTAACGTCCAAATCTGTCAGACTTTGTGTGATCAGTTAAGGCATTGAGTTCTTGGCATTCAAGAAGATCCTAATGATGTTATAGATCATGACGTTTTGCTATTTCTCTGTTTATTTTTCCACGTATTCCAGCACAATGACAGAATGACACCGAGCATTATCCAACATCAAGTCAAAGTCTTATCCAATTCCACACGCGAAAGTTCATACAATTGGGTAAATACCAAATCAATGCATTGGCAAGCATTAAATCCAACCACCAAACGCAGAAACACACCCGTTTTATTTATTCAAACTGATGCCTTCCCAAAAACTAATTGCAATGCATCGAAATATCCATATTCAATGAGTTTGCGCTGAAGATGTCGTTCGCTTCTGCTTCCTAGACAGGAACCTATCATTGATAAGCACAAGAAACCTTGGCTCAAATGTGAAGAGCACATGAACTCGATAGTGTTGTCGCTGGTTCTGGCAAGAGTTTAAATTCGGGAAAGTTTGGACATAGTAGAAGATTTTTCAAAATCATATAACAATAAGTACCCACATCCATTTTTTCTCGCAAAGTATTACTGCTTTAGTTTGTCTTCCTTCTCTATCTTTTAACAACACAAGATTGGTGAGCTGAAGTAAATGCTTTAAAATGTGCAGGATGTTGCTAGAATATCAATGAACAACATCCATAACATATGACAGTTGCATTAGTTTCATTTAGCAAGAGGTTTATTGCTGATTGAAAATGGCAGAAAGCTTATTGAACACCTTTTGTGACTGTTTATAATAAAGTCTGCATAATGCCAAACTTTTCGGAATAAATTATATTTTTCTTAATGCACCTTTGGTTAAGTTTAGTTCTTCTAGGACAAGTAATTTTTGAAATATATTTATTTTAATTATGGGGTTTTCCGTGTAATCTTTCCGCATTTCTTCATTATACAGGATATTGCAATTATTGCTTTTCAGTTTTGTGAAGTTTAGTTCACGAAATAATAATTTATTTCTGGTCTATATATAAAAATGTGTGTTTCAAAATTTTCTCTCTAAATCAAATAGAAGAAAATCGGTTTATCGGAGTAAAATGTATTCATTCTTTCTAAAACCTATAAAAAAGTAATTAAATTATAGATCTGTCTTTTTGTTATTGGTTAAAATTAATGAAATGATGCAATTTTGCTGTTTTCTCTTTATGAATATCACTAGAACTCTTTGATTTTTTCTCACTGTCATGAAAATAAAATTGGCGTTATTTAATATTTGTAGGAAGCAATTATAAGTAAAAAACTGCAAATTTTGAAATATTTTCAGTTCTTTCAAATATCAGGCATTTTGAAAAAGTTTTTGCCAAAGTACATGCTGTAAATTGTGTGTAAACTATTGTTTTCCACTGTCGGATAACTATGTTGTTGTCTGTAGGTAGCAGAACTAAAACCTTTTGTCCGATCTTGAAATGTCGACCCTTGTTATTATAGAAGTTTTTCTGTCTGTCTTTGGGTTTACAGTTTTCTTCTTCTTGTCAGAAGTCACTTAGACCTATTCAATTGTTTTAGAATTTCAGTTGACAAGCTGAACTATTTTTCTCTATTACTATCGCCAAACTATCCAAGTATAGTTCACTTACTTTATCGTCGAGTTACCACGATTGTATCCTATACTTCTAAAATCGTCTGCTCCTTTTTCTCTCTTTGTATTTCCGAGAACCGTCTGTCTATTTGTCAAAGTCCACTGAGGCTAGTTCAATAAATTTAGAACACTTTTTGACGAAATAAACTATTATTCTTATCTGTTTTAACACCGTTAGTCTCACTCTGACATATCAACCGTTAGGCCTTCTACTCCTACGACGATTAACTTTGCGTTTAACTTCTCTTTGGCCGAATTTTTTTTCGTAGCTTTATTTTACTTCTCGTCTTCTCTGTCTTTTTCTGCCTGTCTACTTTCCTCCTCATCTCACACTATCTATATATTTATTACTTAATCGTTTGCTCGATGTATCCTCGGCATCAATAAATTTCACGTAACATTCTATAATCTCGACTATCACCGATTTACGTAACTAAATTTGTCATAACATTTACTTTAAAATAATTGCCCCTAACTCTCCTGTTATGAAGAAACTAAACAATCATAAAATATTCACCCACAAAATAAATTGCTCAATAATATCTACACTGAACAGTCTTTTATATCATCACAACTATACTGATAGAAAAATATCAAATGTAATTTTAGATATAATAAAAAGAATATGTGGTTAGCAAACTTGGTTGTTGAAAATCAAGCCATTATGTGAATATTGCCACTCCACTGGTATGTTACTGATAAGAATGCGGACCTTCTAAAATGTGAGGTTCGATTCCTTTTTTGTGCCCATTGTACAACTTTGCGATTTAAATAAACAAATAATACTCTTCATTTTTCTTTTTCATGATCCAAATCACTGTAGACATAGGTGGAGGGTATCGGTTTGAAACTTTCTATTTAACACCATTGGCTGTACACAAGATTCCGATTATGTTAAATGTTAGAACTTTGCAACATAAGTTTCAGTTTTCTCTCAGTATTTCCGAAAATCCTTAATTTAGCAAATTATCAAATTGAATCGTGAGCATTTTTAGATCATACACATACAATGAATTGTTTTTTGTTTTGGTAAAAAGCGGATTCTAGTTACCTTCATAAGATCATGATAAAGCTTAACAGAATCGTGTTACGAGTCTTCGTTTCTCAGCACCGGTTCTTTTTTTTTTATCTTGATCCTTTAATGACTGCCCTTCCACCACCTTGACGTACACAAATATTGATTTAGAGGCAGCACAGTAACACATTATTTATTTTTTTACACACGGTCACAATAAGTTGAAAGGAAAAGAAGCACGTAAGAATGAGAGATAATATTAGGTGTTGCAAAGGTATCGGCTGCGCCAATCAGAAGGCCACAACTCATCGTAAATGAACGTATTCCTGTTCACGTCATTCAAAGAAGGTTGATATTTGGACCCCTTAAAACCTACGCGGGTATAAAAATAGATGGAAGGTTGGATATAAAGAAGGAGCTTCAGATGGCGATAAAACACGTACGAATTATGTAATGGAATGAATTTCTGTGTTCGAGTTTCTACCTCCGTTCTGATTGGTATAACCGTACGTCCGTGTTGATTGACTACAAAGTCGGCTTCCAGCATTTTTCGTGAGTTAACTCAGTTCAAAAGTTAAATGTGATTTTAAATTCGGAATTAAAGATCTGTAGGTTTATTCAAATCGATTTATTAAAAGCACAGAAGCTTAAATTATAACAACTTCATGTATCAATCTGTTCAGCAACTTAGGAAGAAAAATATAATGATTCTGTTCGGTTGGGTAAGGTATATTTCTTCATTTTCTAATACTTTAAAAGTAGAGCGAAATAATCTTTAGTTTATTTCTTTTTTTATGGATGTAAACAAACAATATATATAGTTAAAACACAGAGTTTGAACTTAGATATAGTTTTATAAAACATTTTGGAATGTAACATCAAATCTGGTCATAAAATATTAAATACAACCCACATTATTATTAAAATGAATATACACTTTTACAAATCAAAATTCAATTTCGTGGAATAAAACTGTTTTCTATTCCCCCTATATAGGAATTTCAAGTATTAAATTACTAAAGCAAAGATCATATATATAGCTGGGCTTAATAACCAGTTAAAAACATTATAATAAGCTCAAACCATTTTAATTTCTATTCCATGGAAAATCTAGAGCAATATAAGTGGTACCTCTAATATCGGTAACCCACTTGACGCTAGTTATTAGATAAAGTTAGAAAGTTTAATCTAAGAAAATGTGTTCTTCTAACTACCCTACTTTAGTGTGTGATTATAATGTTGATCATGTCTTAAGGAACGTTTTCTTCTTTTCATGTTACACGTATACGTAATGATGAGCAATAGTTTTTCAGGGTTAAATCTAGAAAGGGTTTATATATGTAATATGTGTCTCCAACAGCGTGATAAGAACGGATTATTCTATCTTAGCGTATTGTAAATTAGTTTATCATGTCTAAACAACCGTAAATTCTTATATTAAAATAGAAAACGTTTTTGATGCTGCAAGTTCTAAATAATAATTATGAACAACGTTTTATGATATTTTGAATATGATATTCTAGCTCTCAGTTTCTTTTACAGATGTTTGCTGTTTCGACAATGATTTTACTATCGGATTCCAGAGCGGCCACAGCAATATCTGATTCTGACCAATACGCGGCTACATTGATTCCTGAAAAAGTACAGGTTGTTGATATCTGGAGGGATCACAGAGGCCTTGGATCATACAAGTTTGAGTATAACACGGGCCTAGGAAAGGGTGAGTCTTTCAGGGAGGAAGAACGGAACCAAAATGGGACAGTCCAGGGAAAATGGGGTTACCTTGACGATTTTGGAGTGTTGAGAGTAACGGAGTATCGCGCTGACAGCATGGGGTTCCACATTGTTGCTCGGCATGTTCTTATAAAGACGGAGACATTTATAAAACCACCTCGACCTGCCGTCAACCCTTCCTTTCCTTTTATTGGCCCACTGCCTCCCTTTATCCCAAAGTCGTCTCCTGTACAGGAAGAATGAAAAGCAGACAACGACTTTCATGTATGTTAGAATAACTTCTAATAAACCGTTTACTGAAATCAGCCCAAATTGTAGTTAAGATGAACAAACACTGTGTACATTAAAATTTAGTTATACGTTAACTTTATTCAGCTGCATGTCTCTGTAATCGGACAATACAATAACAATTTAAAGAAAAAGCCTCGTGGGCTTGGAGCTTTTAACATTACAGTCAACGACAACTTAGCTCTTTATTGTCTGAGACCTCTTTGACCTTTGACCATTTGCCACGTTACATCTGTAGTTTAGCACGATTCCTAAAATTTTAAGTAAATTTTAATGTACTAAAAAAACTTGAATGTTCTTACAATATCTAAGCATTAAAGAACAAAATTATTAGCTTCTACTATATATTTTATTCTGTGTAAATATTTTGTTCAGATAAATACTCCAAATGATGTTTGCTCTTTCCCCTTTTAACATAAACAAAATGTTGATTAATTGCAAGATTTCTAAACGCACATATCTAGCTTGAACTAATGTATTTACAGATGAATTGAACACATGGTTAGGTCAATAAAATAAACTGCTTATCATACCTACTTTGAGGATGTTTCTTATCGGTTTAAATTTTGATATTTTCAATCAAAATTTAAACCAATAAGAAACATCAATGTAGTGTTCATACATTGCTTACAGAATTAATGAAATTATATATGAAATTAGACTAGAACATTTATCATATATTGAAAGCTGATTACATAATAACTCGATAGAAGCATGTTTTGTTTAATTAAAGAACCATGTATTTTTAACGAGACGATCTCTTTAAAACTACACAGCTGTATACTTCAGAATATAGTACTTTAACTTTGGGTTTTGTTTAAAGGTTATGTAACACAAAATAAGCAAAAAGAATAGAATTAAATAAATTAATTGACTGTGAAGTCTATAAATCTATCTAAATGTTAACTATATAAAGTAGAACATAAAAAAAAAAGCTGTTGAGATAAATTGTGCTTGGAAATGAATAATAAAGCACGCAACAGAAATATTTAAGTTATGTTGTTTAGTGACCACTGAAGCACACACCAAGTATTTAAGTTATGTTGAGGCGACTCGTTTGTTTAGTGACCACTGAAACACACACCAATTATTTAAGTTATGTTGAGGAAACACGTTTGTTTAGTGACCAGTGAAACACACATCAAATAATTAAGTAATGTTGAGGGACCCATTTGTTTTGTGACAAATGAAGCACGCAACAGAAATATTTAAGCTAAGTTGAGGGACAGATTTGTTTAGTAACCACTAAACACTTTCAGTAATCTAATTCGAATAATACTAAAACATGAAAACCTTGTAACTTGGTTAATAAAGTACTTCAAGTAATGATATTCGAATACTAAAATACTGCTTCATTGAATAAGTCTAATGATCGACTGAGTGTGCCTAGATGTTATAAAGTAACCGTAGGTTTAAAATGTACATTAGGCCAAGTAAAAAAAATCTATCAAAATAAAATTAGTGTTTTCGGACATTGAATATATATGTATTAACCATGAAGTTTTCCTTTACCATAAACATTTATCATAATGTAATATTTCTTTGATTATTTAAGTGTTTCAAAACGGTTGATTTCACACTTTATTATAAATTGCATGAAATTTGAAATGTTCGTGATTTATGAACGTATAAGAAATAGGAAAATCCAAAGTAATTTAATTTTCGATTTATAAAGTAAGTTTTATGTTAGAAACAATGATTGAGACCTCTCGATAGTATGTTGAAGTGAAAATGGCCATGTTGTGACTTAAATGGCATAGTAGAATATATTTTTATTAATTTCACGGAATAATTTGATGTTTCTAAAAGAGGGTAATGTAAAATGTGGAGCAGCGTTTTGCCCCATATTTATAATATATATATAAATCATAAATACGGTAGGAATGACACAAATGTGCAATACAAATTAAAATCTCAAACACACTGTAAATAGCATGTAAACAAAACTTTATAAAGACTTTACACACACACGGTTGAGTAGTAAATAAATCAAATGCAAAATAATAAGCCACCAAAGCACGCGAGAAAGTCGGTTGAGTAAAAAAAAATTCACTAAGCCATAAAATTGTCAACCTGGATATCTGACTGACTAACGTTGTTGAAAAGACATAGCTCTCTCCTGCCTTCACCTTATGCAAATCTAAATGCACATGATTGAATTGCGCTATCTTGGCTATAAGCGTTTTTTTTGTTTTGCTTATAATTTAGGTTATAACAATAACCATTAAATTCTCTAGATCTGCGATCTATCTTTTGAAAACAAAGTTTTCAGTTCTATACAACTGACTTGTGGGTTCTATGTTGGACAATGCAATTCTATCATAATAGTCAGTGTCTAAGACGTGAGTCTCCTCCATGTGGACGAACAATACCACTGCCGAAGTCTGAAACTGTTTTGCTCAAGCACTCTAGACTTAAAACAAGAACGATAAGTTGTATAATTTACCTTTGTATTGTTTTCAAACTAAGTGTGATCTATGTACATCTGAGGTTGTATTTGAAACAGCGCGATTTTTAAAATATGCCTTTCAAGGAAAAAAAAACGAGAGAAAAGGCGAAAATCTTATGTTGGTAACCTTGAAAAGTATTTGTCCCAGCGAAGAGATCATTACTGAAAAAATAGAGATAAAATTAAAAACAGTAATGCTGAATATGTGAAACAAGCCTTAACTATTAATCCAACCAAAGAAAAGGCTGCCATCCTGGTTAGATGAAATAAAATCTATAACAAAGATATCAGTAAAAGCCAGGAAATGCCGAGAGGTACCGCTAAGAAAAGCTACGAGAAGGATAGTCTTAGACCAGTCACTCTCGAGACTTAGCACCAAGAAAAGGTACGAGAAGGATAGGCCTAAAGCCAAGTCCCTCTGGAGACTTAGCACCAGAAACATCCTATGAGAAAATTGTAAACAATTATAAAGTATGAATGGGAGCACCAAAAAAGTAAGGAAACAAGGTAAGAATGAGCGGGAAAACATTACAACACTTTGTGGTTTTTGACACGGTGAAACCTCAAAGTGGGTGTGGCCGTCGTTCTGCTCATTACTATTTCGTATTTTACTTTGAACTTTGATCCAATTGTAGACTTGAATTGAGTTTTGTCATTCAATTTTAGAAATTTCAAAAATCAGCAGTTTTAATACTATTCTTTGGCCCATACCTTACCAGTCAGATAGCTGTAATGTCTCCCATAAGCAAGGTATGACTATTAAAGCTTCCTGTCTCACTTCCCACATTAAACACTCTCCTTATGAAGTCATGTATTTCGTTAACATCGCGTAATTTGATTACATACATTTATCTGCACCTGGTTGCTGAAACAAAGCTTACAACAGAGAAATTTAGCTATATACACCTTTCATTTAGCTTGAACAATTACCAAGTTACAAAAACCACAGGAAGTAGGAATGGGCCGAACGATGGCCACACCAACATTGAGGATGCATCGTGTTAAAAACCACCAAGTGTTGTAATGTTATCCCGCCATTTGCCTATTCTTACCTTGTTTCCTTACTTTTTGGTACTCTCATTTCTACTTTATAATTTTTTAAACTTGTATATCTCTACTCAGCTCAGTAGAGCCGTGATGAGATAATCACGTAAATATGCACGGTTTTTATCATAGATGTACGAGCAAATAAATACATGATCGCGCCAGTAAAAATGTAACAGAACTCTGTAAAATTATACCATTTATGCAAAATATAAATGATAATATTTTAAAATGAAAATGTCTGTGTCCATAGCACCCAAAACCATTGTGGATATTCTGTCTACCAGACATAATCAAAAACAACAGTAATAAAACTAGAAAGTAAACTACGGATTCAATAAGGGGTTAGGATAGACGTAAAGGAGGAGGAAGGGAGTATCATTATTATTATTTAAACTATACAGGTGCGCTATATAGCTCCTAAACTGATATCATATAATAATATCAATATAGTAATTAGGCGTTATGTTCTTTGATAGAAATAAAGGGTAGTATATGATTTAAGTTTTATATGTTTATGGTTTTGAAGAGTGGAAGTTGGATGATAATATTTTTGATAGAAATTTGAGGGAAGGTGATGTTATCATATTTCATTTTTTTATGTGATTAGGGGTAATTATCATGCCAATAACCGGCTATAGACGGTGAATGGTTGTGGGATCTGAGACGTTGTAAGTTCTAGCTGACGACTTCACAGTTACTCAAACAATTGTGTTATAAGTTTCCTCCATTTTAAACTTCTTATGTTATTAAAGCTACACTTTAAAAATTTCTAGGAATCTAATGTTGTTATAAAAAGTACTCCAATTAATCTATAATTTGTAATTAAAATTTATTCTATAGGTGCTGTTTGAGATGAAGACTACACTATAAAATTTATCCAATTAAGCATGAAACATAGAGAAGTTAATGTAGATGTAAAAATCCACGAAGTAACATGTTACCTGGAGTTATTAATTACATGATAATATAGTCAAACAAAATCAGCTTAGTTTAATTGAATGTCAATTAAAGATAAATTATGTTTTCAGTATGTATTTTAAATACTTACAGGACGACAAAGATTGAACACGTTGTTATGGGCTTGTATCAGGTCCGTCACAATCTCAAAAATTGTGTTATATGTCCATGATTTCGGTATTACACATACTATATTATTTTTACTGTACGTTAATTAAATAAAAATATTTATTTATTGATCTTCATTGCACCATGGACTTTAACCTAGATTCATTCAAAAACTGATCAATTGGCATTTTGAAGACACTGATAATATAACAAAGTTTGGTCAATGTTTGATTTAAATATTTTGTTCACAACCATTACAACAATTATTACAACATATAACCAGTTCGCATGAAATAATTTATGCTCATATTCATGTGTTAACGTAAAATTAGTTCGCCGCTACTTAAATAAAAACAGGCGAAATGTTGCTTTCAATTAATTAACGATTAATAAA